ATAGCTATCATTCTTCATGGAATCTTCAGATGAACAATGAAGAAATTCTCAGCAGCTTGATGCAAAATGAAGAAGGGTTTAAGGTAATAGTTTTTTCAGCTTATTTCATGTTGTAATTCCATAAGACCTTCTGTGATATGCCCTATATCCACTACTGAGGGTTCCAGAGAACATACTAGCTTTTAAATGTTTTAGATAGAAATATTTCTGACTTTCTTAATCAGAACATTTGGCACAGAATGCTCTCTTTTGATTTTTTTTGGGGGGTCTTTTCTAAGTTTTTTCCAGTCGCCTTCCTCGATCAATGCTGCCAAAAGACTAAATTAACTTCTATAACAACTCCCTATCTCTGTTCCAATGTGAAGCTTTTAGTTTTCTGTGGTCTTAACAAATCGACCAATAAGCTCAGTAAAATTGTGCATAAACTAAGAATAAATAAACCTGAACTTTGTGTCCTTTTTTCTTTTCTTCTCCAATTTTGGAGACACTGTTTTTACTGTTTGATTGCAGGATGACAACTAAATTGTAGGGTGAAGATCTTAGTTCTAAGCAAGGTGAATGGTATGGTAGTTCTGAGAACTTCATTGTCCGTGGAAAGACTCTATGAAAAATTACAAGGATGTGAAAGCCTCAAATATTTTTGGGAGACTGAGATACAGTAGTGGAATTATATAAAAACTATTAATTACATGTTTTACTATCAGGTCCAACAGGAAACAACAACAACCACAACAACAACAGTGATTTCTTTTTTCTATCTTCAGTAGATATGCCTACACTTCTGTGTAGCTAATATCTGAATCCCTCCCCTGATCTGAGTAAGGTATGGTGTCACAGAATTTGGAGGAACAGTAAGGCTCCTGAATTCTAAGGCACATGCCCTGCTTCATGCTTTCCTGTGATCCTGGGGCCCAGCTTATTTACCTGACATAACAGAGGTGCTCCATTAAAGTTCTGAATGACCAAATATCATCTTGTGTCAGTGCAAGGCAGATTTTTGAAGCTTTGCTTTGCATACTGTTATCCCCTCTACCTGGATATCTCTTTATCTCTCCCTCTATCTCCACCCCACTTGCTTTCTTCCCAACTCATTCTCTGGGAACTCTCTTTCCCTTTAGATCACGTTAATTTGCCCTGCAGTAGGTTGTGACTTATTTCATGTAGCTATTAGTTGTAAAACAATCAGAATAGTACTTCTATGAAAATATATAGTAAAAGCACTTTTAGAAACATTTTTTTTATTTTTAGAGGAGTTTGTTAGTTGAAATTAAACCCCAATTAGTAAAATTAAGGTGATATATTAAAATGGAATGTTTCACACATTCCTAGAGTAAAACTGTTTGGAAAGCGATTTGGAAATACAGATCAAGGGCTTCAAAAATGTTCAGACTCTCTAATCTAGTAATTCCACCTTCAAAGAATCTGTCCAAGGAAAATCTCTACAGAGAAGTCAGTGTTGAAGTACACATATTGCAATCCTCCATGTTTTACTTTCCTTAAAGGACTAGGGAGGGTAAATTCTTTAATTCTGGGGAGGAGGCTGCCAGAAGCAATTCCCCAGTTTTGAGGGGCTGAGTGGAGTGAAAGCTCAGGGACTTAATTTTTTTCAGCCAGTTAATAGGCTCAGTGAGTTATTTGAGTCCCATGAATATTACCATCCCTTTGTTTCTTGTCTCCAGATTAAAACAAGAAAAAGGTTCAGTCAGTCTGTTTAGATAGGCAGAAGGCAATTAGAGAAAAATAAACAGAAAGTGTCCTATCCTGCACTCAGTGTAGTCTGTCACACCGAATGAGCCTCAGAACACTGTGTATCAAGAAGGCCTCCAGTACACAAGGTTTTTAGCAGGCACTATTTTGCAGATGGTTTCAAGGACTGTGACACAGCCATGACGGTATCAAATGAATTACTGTAAAATTCTACACAACCTAGTTTGTGGGCCTTATTTTAAAATTGCTTTAAAATTCTAAATTGCTTGCAGTTATATTTCTTCTTACGTCAAAGTGATTTGGTTTAGATCTGGGACTGGCCATATTTTAATGGCTGTCTTAGATACTTCCCCAGGAATTTGCTTTCAGGAACCAGCCAAACTTGAACTCACACAATAACACATTTTCCTTTCCTTTTATCTTATAATAGCACATTTCATTTCTACTGAATTACATTGGTTTTTGGCCAGTATAAAAATAAAAAATAAAAAATCATGCCTTCCTTTTCTTTTTTACAATGCTCATCAAAATTTGTAAGCTTGTGACCTATTTGTGTGTTTATTTCCTTAAGGTCTGTCTCTCTTACTAGTCTGTAAGCTCCACAGAGCAGGAGTACCATCTGCTAAAGACTCTATACCACAGTGTAGCACACAGTGGGCACTTAACAATCATGCCCAACACAGAGAGATAGAGAAACAGACAGATAGATAGGTAAATTTGCTTTTGAGGAAAAAAAAATGGTAAGAATACATAGTAATGTAGACATTTGATCTCCTCTGTGTAATGTTACCTTTAGGACAGCAGAAGGTTTTGTGACAGTTCAGGGTTTTAGAGACAAGTGATTTAAACCTCAGACTAAATACATGTAATCTCAAATTATGCTTGCTATCACAAATGTAATTGTATTCTTTTCACATTCAAACTTTGTGTTTTGAACTTTGGAAAAGGGTTGATTCTTGCTAAGAAGAATGTGAAAGATTTTGTTATAGTAGAAAGCCAAAATGAACCATACCACCTCCCCCAATACCAGCAAACATGATGAATCTCTAAAGCAAACTTTCCAGGAAAAGTAGGAAATAACATAAATAAAGTACAAGTGCAATGAATGTATCAAAAATTTGTTGATAGCATTTTTTTCTCATTGTTTCTAGAAAACAAAAATGACATAATTAACTCTATAGGCTTTATCTATTGTAACAGATTGAACAATATTTTTTTTTAAATTGAACTCTCCACTATATTTTTCTTGCTTTCTAAGTCTTGTCTTACTATTTGAATGAATTAGAGAGAGGGAGAAACAAATAGAACAAACCAAAGTTATGGAGAAAGTATGTGTGTGAACTTTATTTCATCATGAGAAAGTCACTTCTGTGCAGTAACAGAGAACACTGATATCTACATGATGATAGCGTCTGCTTTGTATTCAGATACATACCTTATATTTGTATACAATATATAAAATTCATGGAGGAAATTAATTTCTACAGTACAGTTTCTTTGTTTGAAGAGAACTGGTTCCATTAGTTTCATTTAGAAATTGAACCCCGATTCTGTGACTGTGGTACCAAGGATCGCAGTTCCAAATCCTGTAATTTATTAAATTAGACACCATAATCTCATGAACATTAAAAGAAACTATGAAATTACATCCTTCTGCAGGATGAAAGAAGCACTCAGGCTGTTATGCTAATAACTGATTTTAGCAGAATAGAATTCCCACGATGTATTATGAGTAGAAATAGTTTTCTTATAGGTCTGAGGACAAATACTAGCAAAACTACTACAATTTTCTCTCTGCTCTGTTGGCATGCACTTCACTGAATCTGCTGTGTGCATACATGGGAAACCAGGCCAGCACATCGAGGGCCCTTTGCATTGTATGTAGGAAAAACTTTTGGAGGGTGTTAGCATCTATCATGGTATTTTGGGAAAAAAAGGCAACTGCTCTCAGGTTGATAGGTCATCCCAGAGAGGAGTTTCTAAAATGATAATCTTGGGGAAAGTTCTAGTTATCATGTCACTGTAATCCAAATAAAATAGGTCATGTGGACATTGTCCTGTCAACAAATCCTCTGTTTGAATAGCATCACTCAGACTTAAAACTGCTCCCCAAAGCACTGTTTTCATAGCTAGGGGTCGTTCACCCTTGCTATAGGATTCAAAGTTGTGCTTGTTTTTAACCATGTGAACCATTTTAGAGGGTGACTGGAACATGCTGTGATTTGTGGGAAGTGGGGAAAAAAAAAAAAACCACCTCCACAGTTCTTTTAGTTAACATCTTGAACGTGAACAAAATCAACATAATTGGTTCTGTGAAGGGAAGTTATTGAGAATGCCAATGGGGTGGGAGGCGACTTCTATGATTAAAATGACACCCCAAGGTCTCAAAATACTTTGGCACTGGCTACAAACACCTCTCATAGGTTCAATATCATGTGTTGCGATTGCTCTTAAAATGAAAATGTGAAAAGCCTCAGAGGTTATACCCGGTCATCACATTTAAGCCTCTCTTCTGAGGCAGATTATTTTGTCTTTGATGACCAAAATATTTACAGTATAGCCAAGAAGCACAAGTTCTCTAGAGATTAACATTGTATAGTGGCCCTAGGCAGCTGGACCAAGACTAGAGGGACTGGCAAAGGTGAGAATGGTGAGGTAATGCAGAGAGGCTGGTCTCTTCCTGTTTGGTGCCCACAGGAAGTCTCTGTCCTGGTGCCCACAGCCTGAGCTTTGAGTAGGAAATGGAAGTGATCAGAACTGGTTAAGCCAGGAGTGGCCAAAAGGCCCTCTCTGGACGGCTTTAGCACCCCATGCCCATTGGAAACATGTGCAGTCATACAAATCCACAGCTGGAAAGAACCTAGGTCCCACCCTCAGGAACAAGCAAGCACTACACAGGAACTGAGAACCATCTGGGCATAACTGGCAACTGATGTGTATTGGTGGAGAATGGAGACCTGCTCTACAGCCTAGATACATTCGTCTTAGACACCAGGGGCACATTCAGGACTTCATTTTCAGTTTCTTCAACTGCAGCTTATTTAGAGTGTTATCAAAGGAAGCCGACGGCCCAAGCCGTTGGAACTGCCGATGTGGAATCTTTGGTTTGATCACATCCACATACCATGGGCTCTCTAAAGGCAGGAGAGGAACAGCGGCTCTGTGCCAGAATGCAGAGCAAGTCATGGAAACACTTCAGGAATGTGGGCAGTGGTGGGGTTACCTCCGGGCGTGCCAGCCATTTTAGATGCCACGCAGTTCTCGCTCTGAGGGGTACTGCTGAAGGGCCTTACCCTCGGACGTCTGGAGGACCAGGGTCTTGCTGTATGGGCTGACTCCTGTTTTGTTGAAGGCCTTGACTCGGGCGTTGTATGTGCTGTTGAAGTGAAGACCATCCACAGTGCACATTGTCTCTTTTCCGACATACACTTCCTGAGGGTCAACAAATAAGAGGACACCACTTAATGTGAACCCTGCCAGGAGCAAGGAAGACAAAATTGCTGAATGGTTAGGAGTAAGAACTCTTCTGAAAGCCTGATGTGAACTTGAATCCCCTGTGTGATATTGGGCAGTTTAATATATCCCTTTAAACCTCAGTACTTAATCTGTGAAATGTGGTGCAAAATAATACACCCCTTCCAAAGTTGATTTGAGGACCATAGAAGGTTTTATGTGCAGATGGAGAACATGGATCCTTGTATTTATCATAGGCCCAGCAGCTTAATGAGTCGTAGTTTTTAGCAACTAGTAGGGCTTAAGAAATTAAAATTAAATGCTTATACTTAGAACTATACTTATTAATATTAACTTGGCATTTACATAGTATATTACACCTGCGGAGCTCTTTGTTTATAAGAATGAGTCTTCTTTATTTATTTTTTAGAAGCATTTTTTTTAAAGCATGTATGAAAACATGAGGGTGGTCTCTGTGCTGTGTTTATAACTCCACTGATAACTTTAGGAACTGTCACAAAGGCTCAAAGCTTCAGAAGTAAAGGTTTGTACCACAGGACAGAGGGAAGGGGGAGGAAGAATGACATTTCAAAGGCTTAAAATAAATCCTAGCATAATACATCTTTAGCATAGGTTAGGCATTTGCTTCCCTCTTCAGCTATATACTTTGCAAAATTATTCGGTGTAATGAGTAAAAATAATTTGCATTCGAGGCACAGCCTTAAAATGACAGCTCTCCGGTGGGCTCCTAAGAAGACTGGGGTCTTGGATAGCCCTACAATTCATTCTACTGCAGCAGTAACACAAATTTGAATATTGTTCCTTCTCTTTCAGGCTCCTCAAATTTTATGTGCATAGGAATAACTGTGAATCTGATTAAAATGCAGTTTCTGATCCAGCAGGTCTCTGGGGTGCAGTCTAAGATTTTTCATTTTTAACAAATGCCCAGGTGAAACCAGTGCTGCCAGCAAGAACTGTGTTTGAAGAGTAAGAAAGGAACAGCCTGCAGACTCGGCTGGAACCTTTGTGGAGCCTGACTTGGCCGCACCTTTTCAAGGTAGTCTGTGGAGTGAAAGGGAGGGACCCTGTGGGGAGAGCAACGGGCTGACTAGGAAGGATCTGGGGATTCAATGACTTCGTTAATGTTACTGGGTCTCAACCAGGAAGGAGGAGCAGTTGGTGTTGAGATTCTGAATCTGATATATAAGAAGAAACAATGGGAATGAGAAAGGAACACAGCTGTTTTGAAAGAAAATTATGGGTTTGTTTTAAAGCATGCTGAGTTTAAGGGGGTTTTATGATACAGACATGGACATTTCTGCAAAAGGAGAAATCTGGGCTTGATTCTTGGAAGAGAAGTGTGGGTGAGAGATGGGTTCAGGAGGGACGAGATGAGGAAGCGGGATGAACATGAGACACTGGGACTGTAAGAGAAGGCGAGACCTGGCAGGATGCCTGAAACACTGCCGGTAGGTAGCAATTAGGTGGAAAGAGTCAGGATAAAATAAATATTTATGTAGAGAACAGGGAAAACCATGAGCATTAGTTTCTCAGGAGAAAAATAAAAGGGAAAAGAAAGGCCCTAGAAATGAAATGAGACCTGAAAGGCAAGGTCAAAGGTGAGAAACTGACCAATAGCAGGATTTTATAGGCACACACACACACACACACACACACACACAAAGATATGGATTGGGATGCAACCCAAGACCCTTATTTTGGAAAGGTAGAAACTTGATTCTGCCATACCAGTAAACCAACACATATGTAAACAAAGATTTTCTTATTAGAAGAGAAAGAGCCTTTGCCTTGAGGAGACATGGTTCCTGTTTGAAAGCATTCAAACCTAGGGAGGATCAAAGACATTCAGGAAAGGAGTCACTGGTAGACTTTGCTCTACAGTACTGGTGACCCAGGTTTGGCCATCGATGGCCAGAAGAGTAGGAAAGTTTCCTCTTCAGGGACAAGGTCCCTTTTCTTCAGGGCAGGGATTGAACTCAGTATCCAGAAGGGCTGCTCCATTAGGAGGTCCTAGGCATCAGAGCTCCCAAGAAAGAAATCTCAGGCAAGACTGAGTTGGAGTAGGTGAAAAGCAAAGTAGGAAAAGAGAATGAATGAGAACGAGCTTGTCTGTATATGACAGAGAAGCAGACATTTGCAGACTGGCAGTCACACATGGACTACCAACTTGTAGGCAACGTGGGTATGTCTTGCCAAAAGGCCAGCCAGTGCTACCTTCAGAGGGGACCATGAGCTTCCCACAGGGATTAGAACTCCCTTGTGTTGTGGTGATAATAATCTGCTGACATCAGTTCTATCTGGTGAAAGGCTCAGAAAAAAACTTGGAACCAGGGGAACTTTTGTTAGGAAAGCTTTTGAATATAGGGAGGCCATACCTGGACAGCATGTCAAGTAAGAGGAATGCCAATCAATGACATTGCAAGCTATGACTGCAGAAACACATCTTAGACAGTGGTTAATGATGTTACTAGCAATAAATAATAATGGTAATAATAATAGCTACTACTGCAGCCTCGCCATGTGCTGGGCAGCATGCTAAGAATCTTACATGATTATCCAGTGAAGTCCTAGGAACAAGTCATGAGATACATGTTATTGTTATCATCCCCCTGGTTTACAGACAAGGACCTGAAAGTGCAGAGAGGTGAGAAACAGACCCAGTCACACAGGTCAGTGGAGGTGAGCAGATTATAACAGGCCATCTGATTCAGAGCTTGCAGCTCTGCTAGTACTGTCTTTCAGGAAGAGTAGAAAAATTCCAGAGATTCCTCTGTCTTTAATGGTATTAGGAGAAGGGAGGCCACAGCTGAAGGGCCAGTAGGCCCTATCAGGATGGCCCGCCTCCAGAAGAGTTGGGGAAGCCAGGCCAGAGACTCCATGGCAGGTTCTCTGAAGGAGTCACTGGTTTGAGATAAAAGTCGTAGGTTGTCTACTTACTCGGAACTGACCACCACTGCCATCATCCAGCTCCAGAATGTATCCCTCGGCGGGCACCGTGGACAGAGGTGGCTGTTTCCAGGACAGGGTAGCGCTGTTGTTGTGGGTGCAACACTCTTCCAGCTGTAGGATGGGTGTTGCTGGGACTGGAGAGGAAGCTAAACAAAAATCAGTGTACCTCTGGCTTCTGTTGAGTATCTTGGAATGATAAACAACCCCCTGATAAACATGTGGTTAGAAGGAGCCAGCCTGGGGTGCATGGGAACCTGACCTGGATCTGCCCTGAGTCCCCAGGTGGGGCTAGTTCCTTAGCTATCTTGAGACCTTGTTCTAAGCATAGGAACTCACTTCCCACCTGCACTGTGATGGAAAGAGGGGTGGCAGGTATGTCCACAGAACTGATTTGTTCTCATCTCTTGGGCAGGGAAGATTATCATCCTCAAGAGGAATGACTTACAGGGGTGCAGAGTTCCAGTCCAGCCCATTAAGACTTATTTAATTCATATCAGAGCTGAAGCCAATTATCACAGCATTCATGGAGATTTAAGCCTCAGTTTATCAGCTACTAACTGCCTATTTCATTAAATGTCACTGAAACCTCTATGTTTCTATGTACATATATGTGATCCTGTTTTTTAAAAGTCAGTAATTCTATTCCATATCTTGTGCTCATAAATAGCTAAAGCAGTGGGCTTTTGAAATTCGGTAGCAAGTGATACAAATACAGATTTCTCAGTTTCAAAAATTCAGGGGAACCTGACATTATATCCTCAAGACAGCTGTATCTTGGAAATAGCATGAAGTCAAGTCCATTAGGAGTATTTGGGAACAGATAGAAGCATGATAGAAGGCACCAGGTATCCTCATGGACTTGTAAGAACTGTCTCAGTGTGATTATCAACAATACCTCCTCATCCACATTTTATACTGAGATCTTATATTAGAACTATAGAGTGGTTGGGACTGCAGATGCACAGACTTAGAAATGTTAGTTAAGAAGTGGTCCAAGTTCCTAACAGATGAACTCAATGTATGTAGGCAGGATGGAGCAGTGTTTATGCAAAAGCTTATGTTTAAGCATCAAAGTGTTGATTTATTATTATTATTTTTCACACTTTAATAACTAGAAAGAACAGTTTGGATCACATTGAGTGACATTTAGATGAACAAATGTTAATTGTGGAACACCTGATATGCTGAACCCAAACTGGACTTTGTTTATCTTACACTGAATTAACTGTGTTCCCTATCAGTCACCCCAACCAAGGAGATGTTTGACTTAACAGCAGTTTAGGATACAGGTTCCATATTGGATAACCTAGAAAACAAAAGCAGTAACTATAACATATGAGATGTGAAGGTCAACCAGATCACTTTAGACTGTGATACATTATAATAAAATCATGTCTGAGCTACTAAGTCAACAAAAGTAAATTAAATTTCATGACTCACTAATTGGAGGTAATCAGTTTAGGAAAGGAAATCATGTTTTGAGTTTCAATGGTATAGGATGGAATCTTACCAGATAATTGTAGCTATTACAACCTCAGAAGTCCCCAGAACATTTAGATTTGGAGGAAGGGAGATAAATTCATTATCTTGTTCAATAAATAAACTCCAGGACTAGATGGTAGGAGGAGGAGACAGAAAACACAACGCCTTCTAAGGATTCTAATGAGCATCCACATAGATATAGGAAACACCCAAGAGTTTTAACTGAGGACTGACTTTAGGTCATTGTAAGTATTGGTGACTTATTTTGTTATTGAAAATTTGTTTCCTTTATAAGAGAAATACATTTTATCATATTTACTGTGGAAGTAAAATATGAGAAGTTTAAGCAGATCTTTCTCTAAAGGGCTTCTAGAAACATGACTGATTGTCCTTGTGATGTTTGTTCTGAAATGTTCTTATTAGTTAGACCCCACCATAAAATAATTCCCTGGACTCTCTTATTTCATTAGCTCTATATTCTTCTTTTGTTTTCCCTTTGTTTATGTTTTGGACAAGTCTACATTTCATCAATTTAAAAATCAAAGAATAAAATTACAAGGTGGTTTCAACTTGAATCCTGCAAATGCTTGCAATGTCTCTGATAAGGTACTCAAATTTCCCTGTCAGACATAGGTATAATTAGAAGATTAATTGAAATACATGATGCCATGTGTAATTAAGATGTTAGAACTGGATTTATAAGTCTTCAGTGGTTACACTTAAAAAGAATGAAAGGATAGAAATAAAACTAACCTCTTACTAATCTTCAAATCTTGATATCACTCCAGATTTAAACAAATAAGCAAATGGACAAAAATGCAAAGGGAGGGGAAAGAACTTACCCAGAGACATCTGCATGCATCTAAATTTATTTCCCCATGTGCTAAAAATTATTTTTTTCTTTTTCCTTATTTATCTATTCCTGATTTACCCCAAAATGATGGTATACATAAAAGGCAAATGTGACAAAATCACAGCCTCATTAGTAAATACTCAGGCTGACATTTAGAAAAATAGACTTTATAGAAGATTTTTATGTTACCCTATTTCATTTGATTAGGTATAGAATAAATGGTCTATAAAAATCCAAGTATTTTCAAGTTTATCTATTTTTTATGGTTTGGAAATGCAGAACACTATAGTTCCTGGACTGATGTCTAAGAAAGAGTGTTTTATTTAAACTCCTTGCACTGGGCTACTGTAGCTATCTTGATCTTTACACTTCCAAGCTCATTTCATGCTTTTCTTTAACAACTAGTTTTTCCTCACCTGATCAGAATTCTAGCATGTAAATTTTCTTTTAGCCTGTAAAACCAAGCTTCAGGCTACAAATTTTCCTCTTAGATACCAGGGGAGCTACTCTTCCTGACTTCCTTAAGAGTCTGGAGGAGTTGTGGTTTAAAGTTATGTTCTGCAACAGGGGCTTCTTCTACCAATGTTTTAAAATGTCTTGGTGTTACATCTCACATTTTCCTTCTTTGTTTACTTCTTAAATCCTTCAGATGTGAACAATGACAACTCTTCAGAATTCCTCTGTGAAACCAACAGGAGTGGTAAGACTGAGGGAGAAAGGAAGCTGACCTCCCGCCCTCCACAGAGAACATGAATCATAAATGATGCCTCCTGATCTCTCACTGACAGCCAGTGTACGGGAGGCTTATGTGTATTACACTCTGAATTTTCACAACAACCCCACAAGGTAGGGCCTGTTATCATATCTGCTTTTCAGACTGAAAACTAAAACTAAGAACTAAAGCCCAGAGAGGATTTCCAGTGGGGAAAGGGCAGGCTAGGATCTGAAGCCCAGGAGGCTGGCTCTGGGGCTGTGTTTGGCTCAGCTGCTTCTCCAGGGAAGTGCACTGGAGCAGAGTCTCCATGCCTGAATCTGAAGGCTTCTTTCTGTTTTCTCTGATGTGAATGACAAACATTCCTAAGAACTGCTGGTAGATATTAACGATCTATTTCACCTGCAGAGCTATGACGGTTGTGAATGCCAATTTACTACATCTTCTCTAAAGGTTGGTATGTAGACTGTCATTTCTCTTTATGGTGGCTGACAAAAAAATGGCTTTCAGACTTTAGAGGAGCTATAGGCCATTTCTAGAAAACTGTTGCTGGTACACTATTAAGCATAAATGTGAATGCATATTCTGAGGACATGCATTTCAGGTCCCCATACCACCATGCAGGTATAGATTACATGCACACGTGGGTATGCTCACCCCCTTGCTGTCAACCTGGCTGCTTCTTCTCTATGATTTATAAGAGAGTCTGTTCAGATCACACTGTCCTTGCCCATGACCTTGGTGCATACTCAGGGCTTTCACATTCAAGATGAATTAATGAAGATAAATATATCTTTAGAGGGGCAGAGGCACTTAAAGAAATTAACAGCCATTTGGTCTATGTGCTAAAAAGCATCAGTGGAGTTTCAGGTCATGGTTTCATCCTGGTTCATAATGAATACAGTCACATTTCCTTTCAGCACCATGACTCACAAATCTCGGCATATTCTGTGTACTTGCTCAATTCCAGATTAATATTTTTCTGCAGTGGAACCCTTGGCAGACTAGGAAAAGACTCTTAAAATTTCTTTGTCATGACCTAGAGAATAGTAGATGATAGCAACTTAGAATTAAAGGAAAAAATGTTATTTTTACTATTCTCTAATAAAAACGTAAGAGAGCTTAATATATTGCTTCCAATAAGTCTGAAATACCCAATACCACTCCTAATCATCTGTAAAGAGTGTAATATGATTTTCTAATCAAGATACAACCAGAAAATATTTCAATTTAGGAATGTTTGAACAAAGAATATATCAGCTTTCTTCAGATGGATTTCAATTGCTTAGGGTGATGTGTAATCAGAGAAAAAAGACCAGTTAAGTCTTTAGTTATTAAGAGAATAACTTCAGGCAGTGCATTATTGCTGAGTAGTAGCTGGCTGAGTAGAAATGTGTAGAAACTAACAGCAGAACTATCTTCTTTAGTATCAACAACAACAGCAAAGGCATTTGTGATGAGATTATAAAACCAGAGAGATGGCTGCTCAAGTTTTCAGTCAAGAAGGAAACAGATATTTTCATTATCATAATTTTAAATACATACTTTCAGTAATTTTGAAAAAAAATTTAACTTTCTACTTGTAATCTACTTAGCATGATTAGAAAACACGTAAATGACATATATTGTTACTTTCACAATTATCAGATTACATTAACACTATTCCAAAAGTTATTTAATTTTGGGGCCATTTGTATATGCATTTTAGAGTATAGTTTCTTGTGATATTTTTATCAACAAGTTGCAAACGAGTTTTTCATTAAACTAAGTATTTCTTTTAAAAACAAAGACTAGTACTATGCCAGGAACAGTTGTACATGTGTTAAGAGAAATGACGCAGTCCAGTAGGAGAAGTTTTAACTAGTCAATCAAGTTCTATCACATCATGACCTTTTGGGTTTTCTTTCCATAACAAGCATCTGACAGATAAAAATTATTCAGATTCTAAAAAGGACTGAGTTTTCACTGAATTAATTAAATTAATGAGCACAAAACAAAGCATATAAAGTAACAAGGCAGAGTGATATTAACCAGAAGTAAATGAAGATGAAAAGTTAAAAGGTAAATGGAATACCTACCTCTCATACTAACTGGTCTGTCATATTAACTTCATAAATGACTGTTCTGGATATTTTGTGGTCCAGATGAACTCTTGCTGTGAGGGTGTTCTACATTTTGTCCATTCTCTGCTGTGGGTACAGACTTGAACAGACTGTACACACAGCTGTGTTCACCCTTATTTCTGTGTGCAGTGCTAAGTGGCCAAGTGACAATGCTTTGGAAATGTGTTCTGTGATGCCAGGCACGTGGACCTGCAGTTCTCATAGCAGCTGAAAGGCCTGCTCAGTTCACATAATTGTTGCCATCCTGCCAACTGGCCTGGACTCCACCATGGGCAGATGGACAGGACTCAGAAGGGCAGTGAATGGGCAAGGGAAGGGCTCTGACAGCTGATTAAAACATTTCAAAGCCCCGAGGCTTCTACCCCCGAGCCTCCCACCCTTTGCCCTCTCACCAAGGCTTAACTGGGTTGGCTCCTTTTTCCTCTTCCATCAAGCCTTTATTTTGGTCTTTTGTGACATATTTTCTCTTCCAAGCTACTTGTGACAGAACCTTTCCTTTGGGGACAGAGAGAGGCTGATGGAAGATTTACCTGGGGTTCTATATTCATCTAGGGATAGGTTTATTTCACAGGCTACCATGTGGGTGTTAAAAGAAAAATGTTAAACAGCAAGAAAGAATTGCTGCAACACAAAAAGTTGGATTTATTAAGTGTAAGAATACAGATATTCCATGAAGAAGCACATATTATAGTTATGCAAAAATGTAACCATTGAGGACAACTAGATGAAGAATTTGAAGGACCTCTTCATACTATGTTTGCACCTTCCTGAAAATGTATATATGTTTCAAAGCAAAAGAGTAAAAAATAAAACAGAAATATTCTTTAAATGGATATTATTTAATGTGCCATAAAGTGTTTTTGCATAGTTGGCTTGAATTGTTTATTTTTCTTTGAAAGTTCTTTTCCTTAAAATAATTCTATATATTTGTACTTCCCTTCACACCCTACCCCAAATCTCAAAGAGAACTTGCTTTAGTTACATAAATTAATTTTAAAGTTTAGGTTGAATTTTCATTTTCCTTCTACATTTGTTATTTTCTTGTCAGTACTGTCAGGCTGACTATGATCTTCCCAAGTTCCCACTGGTCCAGGCTGAACTGTTTACTCGATATCACTATCCAGGTGGAAGCAGTCATTTAAATTCTGGGCTCCCTTGATTTATATCAGTATTTCTGTAACAAGGCTTTAGTTATGTGCAGGGATGTTTTCTCTTTCTCCCTATCTCATTTTATGTCAGCTATTCTCTGATGCTGAGCATGTGAAATCTCTGACTCTCAAACAGTTTATCAGAATTTATCTGGTTTGCTCAGAGGTGAGTTACACAGCTACAGGGGATGTTTTCATTACCCAGTAAGATAGAAGACACTACAGATTTTTATAACATTCATCAGAGGGATATTGATCCTGCCCAAAGCACCAGCATCTGTTCCAGAGGTTGCTCTCTGACTCGGGAGACGCAATCACGTACCTTTCACCTGCACGAAGTCGAGCTGGTGAATGGACTGCAGCAGAGGGCTGTTGTCCAGACTCAAGTCAAAGTCCGTGGTCATCCTGGGAGTGAGCGTGCCTTTCCCCCACTGATCCTCAGTCAGGTGCACTCTCCTTATGAGGGCGTCAGAAATCTAATCACATCAAAGACCACAGCCTAAGAAATACAATGCCACACTGCCCCTCGACTCCAAGAGTATTACCACCAAACCGCCTTGGGACTCACACCTGTCCTGTCTCAATGCATCTGGTGAGAAGGACCTGTTATGACTACGATAAGCTATGGTTTATCAAGCAAATCTGAACATTTTGGTGAGTTGTAGGGAAGGCACTGGAAGTAATTATCAGGTGTTAATTGATCTAATAGACATGCCTGGATCATTCTATATTGGCCAAGAGTGAGAGAGGGAGAAGCCTGTTCCTTTCTGTTGCTGCCTCTCCCCCACAGACCCATGGGCATTTGTTCTGATTATTGTCGCTTGGGTGGGTGCTATGGGTATGGAGAGCCAAGGTGGAACTTGTGAGAGACAAGCAATACTCCATGATCCTCAAAGCCAACGACTGTAAAGGACGAGATGATGTTGGTGATTAGTTAGTCCTATTAGAACCAACAGATCTAAGTTTCTACTTTGAGGTGTGAGTAGTCTATAAAGACTTGGGAACTGGTTTAAAGAGGCTGCATATAGAATTTATTATATTTTAGGCTCACCAACTTTGTGTATTTAATACCGTATTCTCTGACAGAGAATTCTTTCATTCAGTCTCCTTCTTTTACTCTTGGCCAGTTCAGTAGAATATGAGTTGGAAACCATCTACACATCCCTTAACAAAGGGTTCCTTATCTTCGGAATCAAAACTTAAGTAAAAGTCAGATTATCTTATGGCAATTCACTAAAATAACACTGAAAAAATAGAAAAGGCTTTGCTATATTTGAGAAATCACTGACTTATGGCTAGTGACCGGGAGGTAGAAACCTTGCACACTCAGACATTTCCAGATAACAAAACTGTCCAAGAGACAGTAATAAAGAAGGCCCAATTCTTAGGCAAGGCAGTGACTCCATTTTGGGAGAACTTATAAGGAGTTACGTTTTTATGACTAAATCTATAAACAAAAATAAACAAAAAATCCCAAACACTTTTCAGTCTTCTAATACATGGTGAAAACAGAACTTCCAGTATATGTCAGTGAGTTTAGCAGGCACCCACACACTCACTGCAGTGTGAAGGTGGGTTCTGTTATTGTGGGACCCATGCTCAGCCAGGGTTTCTGGACACCCTACCTAGGCATCCTAGACTCAGCCCCATGGAATCTGATGTGGAATCTGAAGCAGAACTAGTTAACACTTACCTGCAAAAAGCCACTAGGATCATTTTCCTTAATCACCTCCAAGCAATACTCCATGAGACCTGTGGTCTGGCGTAATTTCACCGTACAGTGAGAGATCTGATCTCGAACCACCTAGAATTGATGAGAGACAGAATGGTCCAAAATGGCAGAGGATAGAAGAGACATCAACTGGGACCTTGGAAGGTTTCTTCAGACCAGAATCCAAGAGCATCAATGGAATGAAACTAAATTTATGAGAATACTTTATGGCAACATCCACATGAACAATGGCTCTGGAAGACAGGTTAGATAAGGCTCTTGTAGGAAATTGGTAACAGGATCCATCAGAAAGGAACATGGAGGTTGGAACCCTGTGAATCTGGTGACCTTGACCATCAAATATACCTGTGAGCTACTGTGAGTATGAGGCCCTAGGAGTTTGAAGACAGCTACCCCTTCCTGATGGGTGGTTGCAGCTCTGCTTTGTGACACTGTTGCCCACTTTCTTTGCCTACTGCCTGCCTGCCTGTTCCAAAGAGCAGACATCACCATCTGAAGCCCGTGCCTTTCCCTTGCTGCCCTTCCCCACAGTCTTCTGTGCATTATGGTCCCTTGAGTGGGTGGTAGGAGGCTGGAGGGCCAAGGTGGAACTTGTGAGAGACAATGAGATGGAGTCAACAAGTCAGTTGGAGAAAGATGGATGTAGAATTAAGTTTTAAGAATAACCTACTTAGAATCATTGCCTCAATTTGGAAAGCAGTTTTAAAGACTGCCCTATTTGCCAAGCTGTGAGTCTGCTTTAACCTAGATAGGCATCTCTCCATGCATGCCGTTTTCGCCTCTGGGAAGTTCTCTTTGCCCAGTGACAAATGCATGACGAGTTTCTTTCTTCCTTCAGAGATGTTCAACTTTGTATCCTCTGCTCAGTGACCTGAATCCTGAGTGGTATTTGAAGCAGAAAATTGAACAAGAATTTCCAGGAACCTTAATCACTCGCTTCCTTGATAGTTTCGTTATTGGCAAAAGCTTCAAAGATAGCCAGTATTTTTGATATTATAGATAACTAAAAAGGATTGTAATAATTATTTTAAGATGTTGCTTTGTTACTTCTTTTCATTTTTTAATTATAAATTCATTTTCCATTAAAGATTATTACATCTGTTTTCCAAAACAATTGGAAAATAAATGAAAACAAAGCAAATAATTTCACCATCCAAATTAAAAAATTTTAAAGCACTTTGATATTTCTTTTTAGTTTTTTGTTTTCCTGGAACCAGAGTTATTTATACTTACAATCAAATTATATGACAATTTTACCCCCTCATACACTTAATACCCTATAGGCATTTTTCCATGTTGCCACCATTAATAAATATTGGTGTCTACATAAATATCCACTGAGTGGGTAATAATAATTTATTTAATCATTCCAGTTCCCCTATTACTATACATTTAACTTCTTCCCAATTTTCAACAACTTATTCACTTATTATTTCTGTTTTTTGTTCTCACTTTTGAAATTATAATAAAATGTGCATAACATACAAATGTTTCTGGTTTAACCATTTTAAAGTATACAGTTCTGTAGCATTAACTATATTCACACTGTTGTATAACTATCACCACCATCCATCAAGAGAACTTTTTTTCCCTTCCCAAATTGAAATTCTATACCCATTAAATAATAACTCCACATTGCCCCCTCCTTTCAGCCCCAGGTAACCACCATTTTACCTTCTGTCTCTATGAATCTGACTATGCTAGGAACCCCACAGAAGTGGAATCATACTACAGCTTGCTCTTTCATGACAGGTTTATTTCACTTAGAATAATGTCTTCAAGGTTCATTAATGTTCATAGAATGTGTCAAAATTACTGATCTTTTGAAGACTGAATAATATTCTAATGCATAAATGTATATACCACATTTTGTTTATCCATTCATACATCCATGGAGACTGGTCTTGTTTCCACCTTCTAACCTTGTGAATAAAAGTGCTATCCAAAAATGTGTTCAAATATGTGTTAGTCTTCCCTAGAGTGGAATTAGTGAATCATATGGTAATTCTCTGTTTAATTTTTTGAAGAATTATCATAGGATTTTCCACAATAGCCATACCATTTTACATTCCCACCAGCAATGGAAAGGGTTTAAATTTTTCCACAGCCTCATCAACACTTATTATTTACTGTTTTAAAAAAATAACCTAATGGGTGAGAAGTATTATCATCATAATTTTGGTTTACATTTCTGTAATGACTAGGGACATTGAGCTTCTTTTCATGTGCTTATTAATTGATCTTCATTGGAAAGAAGTCTACTCAAGCCTTTCACCATTATTTTAGTTAGGGTGTTTTGTTGTTCCTGTTACAAATTTGTAAAAATATTTTATATATTCTGGATATCAATCCCTTATCAGATATATAATTTAAAAATATCTCCTCCTGTTCCTTTTATTCCTTTTATATTTTTAATTTTGATGAGGTCTAATTGACCTATTTTTTCCTTTCATTATTTATGTTTTTGGCATCATATCTAAGAAGTCATTGCCAAATTTCTCTTTTAGTTTCTTCTAAGTCTTATAATTTTAGGACTTACATTTAGGTATTTGATTCATTTTGAGAGTTTTTTTTTTTTTTTGCACGTGGTATTAGGTAAGTGTCTAACTTTATTTTTTGGTACATGGACATTAGGTTTTCCCCACACCATTTGTTGAATAGACTGTCTTTTCTCCATTGGATGATCTAACCACATCTCTGGAAAATCACTTAATTATATATGCAAGAATTTATATTTGGACTATTCTATCCCAATGGTCTGTCTCTGTTAAGCCAGTCCCCACTGCTTTGAAATTGTAACTTTGAGGTTAGTTTTGAAATTCAGAAGTACCTGGATTTCAATTCCATTTGTCTTTTTCAAGATTGTTTTGTTTGGATCTCCTACTTTCTGAATGATGATTTAATTTTGCTTTTTTGCTTTTTTTTGTACCAGGGATTGAACTCAGGGGTGCTTTACAACTGAGCCACATCCCCAGACCATTTATCTATCTTTCTATCTGTCTTTCTATCTATCTATTTTTATTTTGAGACAAGTTCTCACTAAGTTTCTTAGGGCCTCACTAAGTTGCTGAGGCTGGTCATTTTGCTTTTTAACTTAATAATAATTGAAATAAAAAACAAAATATAGGTTTTAAAAATCTATCACAATTGGTGAAATACAACAACTTTGATGTGAAGTTTTTTTGTGTGATTTTTTTGGGGGGCTTATTTTCTTCCAACATTCAGTATGTTTCTAGCAACCTCTATGACACTATCTCTGTGTTGGTTGGAGCTCAAGGAATACAAATCATTCTATTTTTTATTCATAAAACAAACAGGAAGTTTAGACTTCTGTTTCTTGTGGGGGAGGGGGTCTCCAAAAAAATGTTTCATGAATTAAACATTAAAAAATTAAATACTGTTGACCTAAAACTAATACTCCACTTCCCTCAGCTATATGAGGATTAATTCAGTTGATCTCAGAAGATATTTTTATATTTTGGTAGCCAGGCCATCACTGCTGGTAGGTAGCAGAGACCTCAACAGTAGCCATTTCATTATCTGAGTGGCATCTGCCCTGTGCCTAGTGGTCCTGAATGTCCAAACAACAAGTACAGAGTGGATCAGAACACAGGAACCCAACAGGAATCTGCTTTTGAGATAAGATAGACTAAAATGTTGTGTTTACCTTCCAGGAGATTTAGCTCGATGATAATTTTATGACACACAAGTACTGAAATGAGAACATTACTCAGTCTTTATGAAATTCCATGCCTGCTTCTATAAATTTCGTTCTGGATCAAGGTTTATTTTGAGTTTCTGAGTAAGGGGTTCTCTGCCTCCCATTGAGAAGCTTAATTGTTGCACAGCCGGAGAGTCTCTGAGTTTCAGCAGGCAGTTGCCAGTGGGCCCTCTATTCGATGGCTCAAGCTTCATGGGAGGATTCACTATTCTGAGTTTCTCTCTCTCAAGAGCCATTGCTGCTACAAGTGGTTTGGCTCTTTTTATGTTTTAATCAACCATTCCACAATGATCACAGCAGCCTGTGATAAAATCACTGCTAAAGCTTAAACTGGGTTTCTCGGAGCAGAAATTTGGGTGCACTGTAATTGACTTATAGTTTCTGAAAAAAATTGAACAAGAGTTCCCATCTTATGGAAATCAGATGAATAATTAGATCTTTTAAAAGTATAAATATTTTTTTCCTCTAGCCAAGTCTTTTATCAGTTCTTTTACTTGTGACCTTCCCAACTTTTATTCATATCACTTTTTATTACTATGTATTTTTACACTGGTGTGTTTTTATGTCAAATAATTCACAGGAAGCCAGGCCATCTCCTTTTTTCTTTTTCATTTCTATGCTTTGGCACCATGGTTGCAGTTGGCTGGACTCAAGAGTTTCTTTTCTTAGGAACTGTGCAAGTAACCAGAAAGGCATAATAAATAGGCACTAGGAAAACACTCTTTCTGCTTTTATCTGCACTACATACAGCCTAAGCTAGCTCTCACAGGACAATGAATTAATCTGTAGTCCATAATTTCAGAGAAAATTTTCAAAATTTTCTCAGCAGGGTCACCATCTGTTCTGGATGGCAGGTGTCTAGTGACCATTAGAATAGATTTACTTTGTTAAATGGCACACTTACAAAGTTCAGTTCTTGTATCAGGATACGATGCTGGCACCCATTCAGAAAAGGAGAGTTTGAGAATGGACTGTTGTGTCCCTTGAATTTTCACACCACTTCAGTAGTGGAGCAACCCAGAGGAGCTGTACAATACAAAGGTAGAATTGGTTCTGCCTGTCCACAGCTACATCCCCACTCACAGGCCAGTCTCCTTCCTCCAGTCAGCTCTCATGACACAACTGGCAGGAAGACTTGAGGTTAAATTTGACCTTGACAATGTGTAGCTCTTTAAAATTTTTTCTTTATTTATTCTTTTGAATAAATATTTTTAATCATAATATTAGATCTCAACATGGAATCAGAAGGGATGCCACTTGTAAGTTGTTAGTCTAAGTAAATGCTAACATTCTCTTTCCTGTTTCAAAAACTCCTTCCATAATATAACCTATGCCTTTGGATCACAGTTTG